TGTACAGTGATTCTGAAGTATAAATTCCTAGAAGTGGAATTTCTGGGTCAAGGGTCGATTGCTTTTGCTTTTTTGAAAAAATATTCTGCTAAATCTGTCCCAAAGGATGTACACCTATTTATGTGTCTGTTTAGGAAGAAGTTTCTCCTCACCTTCTGTACGCATTCAATGTATTTTCAAACTTCTGGGAAGGTGTACACCAGGGATGCATCTTATCTCCATACTTTTTCAATCTACATACAGAACTGATCATCTGGGTGGCTGGGCTCTATGAGGAGGAATGTAGGATCAGGATTGGAGGAGGAACTCATCAACAACCTGCATTATGCAAATGGCACAACCTTGCTTGCCAAAACTGAGAAGGGCCTGAGACATTTGCTGTAAAAGGTCAAGGATCTCCTATAGGATTGAAGCTCAACATCAAGAAAACAAAGGTTCTTGCCACTGGGCTGAATGGCAGCATCATGATAGATGGGGAAGAGATTGCGATTGTTAACAGCTTCGTTTACTTGGCTCCACAATCAATACTCTTGGGCCAGCAGCCAGGAAATCAAAAGAGGAATTAACATTGGGGAAATCTGCTGTCAGGGACCTCTCCAGAGTACTAAAGAACAACAATGTCAGTTTGGAGACAAAGAGGCACCTGGTCCAGGCCATGGTCTTTGCAATTACTTGCTATGCATCAGAAAGCTGGACAATGACTAGGGATGATAGAAGAAGAAATGAAGCCTTTGAACTGTGGTGCTGCAGGAATATACCATGGACTGCTAGAAGAATAAATAGGTTCATTCTGGAGAGGGTGAAACCAGGCTGCTCCTGAGGCAAGGATCTGAGACTTTGTCTAACATATTTTGGACATGCTGCAAGATGGGACCAGTCCTTGGAGAGTGACATTATGCCTGGGAGGGTGGAGGGACAGAGCAGGAGAAGACGACCCTGGCTGAGATAGATTGACTCAGTTACTAGGGTATTGGGGTAGATGTATCAGAAACAATAAGGTTGGCTCAGGTTAGAGTGGGGCTCAGAGTTGTTGTACATATGGTCGTTATAAGTTGCAAGTGACTCCAAGGCACTTAACAACAACATAACATCTCAGGAGAAACTACTAATGGGTTAAAGCAAACAAACAGGATAAACAGCTGGTTCTGGTGCTGCAAGGAAGATATTTGGGTGTTTCCTTCTCCCTCTAGAAGCATCCTTTGCTGACTGAGAAATCTGAGATCAAACCATTTGTCATTTCCAGCTTCCTCCTGCAAACATCCTCCTTCACTCCTTTGGCAGTCATATCACCTGTTTTTGTGGTTTCGGGTTTCATCAACCCCAATTTTATAAAAAAAAGTAGTTTTCACATTGACTTCTCATCTGGCTTTTGGACATCTTCAGGTTGAAATAAAAGGTGTCCTGACATTGAAAGTCTTCCTGGAACTCTTAACAATAAAAGAAAGAGGCAGGTTTTTTAACAATCCATTTTACCAAATATCTGGTTGGAAATCTCATCGTGTGGTAAAATAACTCATGATACAGGTTTTAGCTATAATTTGTTTTCCTTATAACCTCATAACTCTTGAAGCTTCAATTTACCCAAGCCAATAGGTTAAATTTAGTGTGAGCGGCTACCAACTTGCAGGTTGTCGGTGGAAGTCCATCCAGGGTCACCTTGGAAGGAAAGCCTAGTGACCTAAGTTTTTAAAAATCAGCAACTGAAAACAATTGAGCACAAATGGGCTCATCATGGATTAGAACTGACTTGATGTCAATGGCTGCTTGTGGCTTTTTTTTTGCTTTTTTTCAGATTCAATTTATGATTTTTCAAATGTGTTAAAGGGATCACAAAATAGAGGATAACTGCACAATACTGAGAATCATGGCCTAGCCAAGATGCCATATTTAGGGGGACATATTCTAATCCATAACACTCTACCATTTGGTCCTCCTGAAATTGTGTCCTTGCCCCAAGTGTAATACATTCATCTCATGATATCATCTTCAAAGTCTCAAATCAACTCCAAAATTCATCTTGTAGCCAAATTCCTCTTCATTTGTGAACCTAGAACACAAGTCATCTACTTCCAGAATACATAATAGTAGACCAGGCACAAGGTATGACATTTTCTATTACAAATAGTACAAATTGGAGGGAAAGAAGGAATGATAGTCATCAAACAAGTCCCCAAATCAGGCAGAACAATTGACATTAGCCCCCTGAAGAGGAGCAAAAGCAAGAGGCAGAAGGCTGAGTTTGACTTCTACTAACGCCACTGAGAGCAACTGTGTCCATCAACTACAGTGTAACAAATAAACAAATAGCTACAAAGTCAGATATGGCACCTTCACCCTCCTGCATGTACTTCTACTAATCCCTGGGTTTGTTATTTGTTGCAAATTGACTCACACACCCTTTACTCCCAGTTGTGGGGTTTATTAAAGAAGTAGGCTGAAGGTGGGGGAAGAGAAAGGATATTTGGACTATCACCTAGTGAAAGTCCAAGTTTTAGTGAACAGTAGTTCCAAACCAGATTCACACAGCAAGACACAATTCCTCAATTAGTTCACACAGCTTCTCAGTCAACAAGTGAAAGTCCAGGTTCAGTCCTGCATCTGTGGCACAAATACAAGTAGCTTCTGGTTTCCCCAGTTGTCCAGCAAGCTTTGTCTCAAAGTAGTCATATATCAGCTCTTCCTCCAACGTCCATCAAGCAAAACCTTTAACTCCAGCTCCATCTCCAGGGATCTATCAGATTGTGAAGCCTTGCCAGAATCTCTGTCCAGTCAGGCTAGCTCGCACTCTTAGCTTGGTCCCACAGCTGTTAATGATGGAGAAGACTCTGCTCCACGGTGAACCATGTGCGTGCAGTTGAGGAACCCTGGAGGCAAGGGCTAGAAAAGCCATTTTCAAAAGCCCTACCGCCACACCTTCAAGGTTTGAAAAGAATCCTCTACTCCGTGGGGCCATCTAGGTAGTGGCCTTGCCCTCCATACTGGGAGTGTTGCCCATGCTTTCTGGACCCGATATCGTGCTCCTCCGATCTTGGGCTTCAGCTCTGTTGCCCTGGCTCACTGGGATGGAAACTCTTGCCTCCTAGGCTTTGGGCTGCTTTGAATCCGAGTTGTTGTTGTTGATTCGAATACGCCTCATAGTAAACGTATGAAAACCAGATCTGAACCCTGCCTGTACTGTGCTGTCCTTACCATCTCCAGTCACTGTGTTAGTACATCTCGTTGAGGGTCTTCCTCTCGTTCGCTGTCCTTCTTCCATGTTGCGAGGATCATGATATCCCTTTCTAAGGTATAGTCCCTTCTAGAAACATGCACAAAATATGTGAGACAAAGTTTCACCATCCTTGCCTGCAGGGGACACTCTGGCTGCACTTTCTCTTAGACATTATCTGTTTGTTAGCACTGCCTAACTAGGCCAGCACAGGAGTGGATTACTGTTTCCTGTCCAAATCCAAGAGGCTCCTTCAGAGAACAGGATCTCAGCCCACAAGGAAAAAGCCCCCATTGAATGAAAAGAGCCCCCTGCCGAGAAATTTAGTGATTGCAAAAGTTTATGTTGATTGGAAGATGAGTGGGGGGAGGAGCTAAGGCTGGGGCAGAGAGGGTCCCAATGTCATGTAAATATCCCTTCCAGGCTGGACATCGCCGGAGCCGACTTAAACCGGTGCAGTTGTGACTCTGTAAAACATTTTTAGGACAAGTATCTGATCCCTCTAGTACTTAGACTTTGCTTGCAGCATGGCCCCGAAACGCCAGTCTTCCCTCCAGCCACAAACGAAAAAACGCCGCCTGCAGGAGACGGCCTCTGTGAACTTGCCGAAGGGGGGTAAGTCTCTAGATATTTTAGTGGGAGTTTAACGAATTTTTAAGGATTGCCTATATGTTAGTACCTTCTTCCCCAATTTCTCTTAAAATGTGGCTCTGGGTGAATGAATGGATTAAGTTTGTGTGAAGAAAGAACCAGAAAGAGTAAAATCCCGGGAGCACGTGGGAGCTCCACCCCCCACCCCATACTATACTAACTTTAAAACCTACCCACTCTTCCTCTGAGGCGGGAGACGACTCGCGACCTGGCTCTGTCACCGCTAAATGCCCAGTCATATGCCCAAGTTCTTGTGGAACCCCACTTTCCCTCTGCCTGGATCCCTCTCCAATCCTACCTGCCCCCTACCCCTTGTTGTCTCTCCTGCCTCTTTCTGGCCTAGATCCCTGCCACCTCTTTCTTATCCTGCTTCCAGTTTCCTCCTCCCATTCACCCTGAGCTATGCTGATCATGTGACTCACTGGTTTAAAATCCCACCCCCACCCCCGTTGCCCTCCAGGTAAAGACAGAGGTTTCCAGGCCCGGTTCTTACTTGCTTCCTCCCACTGCGGCTCCAGCTTCAAGCTCTTGACACCTTAAGCTTTCCTGTCTCTACGCAGAGTGTATTCTCTCACCCTGGAGCCTAGATTTTCACTTCCTCGTGCCTGGATTACTCCAACCCTACCTGCCCATATCTTCCTTGTTCTTCAGCTCTCTGCTGAAAAGGCACTACTTGCACTTACTCACTTTTGAGCCGTAACTTCTTGGCATGAGGCACCCTTCCTACCTTTGCCAGTGGTGTTAACTTCCCTAACTTGGGCTCTGTATCATTATATAATAACTGGATGCTGATATCTGTCTTAATCAATCCACTCCCCCTGCCCTGCTCTTACTAAGTTATTAACTCCATGTTTCAAAGTCACATAGCTTGGAGTCAAACAAACAGCATTGGTTGTTTTAATGATTGAGCCCTCCTGATAGAGTGAGATGAGGCCTGGTTACACAGTGATTAAGCAATCAGCTGCTAACCAAAAGGTAGTTAGTTCAAACCTGTCAGCTGCCCCACTGGAGAGAGATGTGGCAGTTGGCTTCTATAAAGATTCATAGACTTGGAAACCATAGAACCAGTTCTAGTTGGTGCTTTTAGTGTTGCTGTGAGTTGTTTTCATTTTGGATAGAGTGGTGAAGTGGCAGAACCTTCCAGAGAGCTGGGTTTGGACAGGTACTAACCAGGAAAGCAGGCTGTAAGGCATGCCCTGCCACTTGGGACAACAAGCTGACTTTTGAGAGAGGAGGGGCTTTAAGCAGACATGGCCAAGGTCCAGCCATGCTTGTCGTTGAAGGAACAGTTCTTGTGAATCTGCTCAGTGACCCTGGCAAGTTAAACTTGACTGGGTCTCAGTCTCCATTCCTTCCAAATGTGGGTTGCTGAAGCTTGAAATCTGGTTCTCTGACTTAACTGGGCAAGTGATAGTCTGTGCTTATTTCCTCTTCTATGGAGCTCTGGTGGCCTAGTGGCAAGAAGCTGCGCTGCAATCCTGAGGCACACTGCTCAAAGCCATCAGTTGCTCTGCTGAAGGATGGGTAGTCTCTTCCTGTGTTATTAACTGCCTCTGAAAACCTGCTAGAGGGTCAGCTATGGATTGGTTCTGACTCTGGTACACAACAACAACACCACCACAAAAGGCTGCTGTGTATTCGAAGTTCTTTAGAAAACACTGGTGTGGTATTTGAAATAGGCAATAAATTCCCACCTATTGCATACCATACCAGTTGCCACAGACTTGGATTCCCTTTGACTTCATGTCATCACAATAGAACCATACATTGTAGGTGTTTCAATGGCTGTTGGCTCTTTTAGTCCGTTGCCAAGCATTTCTTCTGAGGCACCTCTTGACCCCTCCAACTAGCAGGTTAGCAGTTGAGCCTTGTGAACTATTTCCATGGCCCACGGAGTCTTCACTTTCCAGACTCAAACTTAGGACGAAAAGGTAGCTGAATCCCTCTGGCCTCTCTCCATTTTGCTTCCTGGGAGAACTAATAGGACAAGAAGAGACTGAAAGTTAGACCCACAGTTCCTTGGAGGCGTTTCATCTCTACCCAAATAACCACATGGGCCACTTCCTAAGAGCACTGATGGTCTGTTGGGCTAAGTACCTATCTCCAGCAGTCCTCAAAATAGTACCAGGCCATGATTATCCTCATTTTACAGATTAGAAAAAGAAGGCTAAAAGACGTATTTGTGGGTTGAGTTGAGGGGTGGGAGTTGTGTTCAAGGGCATCCTAGTCAAGTCTTAGGATCCCGTGCCTACTGTGGGGAACACTAACATCTGCTCCACCTGCTGCTGTATTCTCTTCCCTTCAAAGGGAGCTAGGAAGGGGAGGAGAGGGAGGAATTTTGATAGCGAAGTGAGAGGTCAAGGAGAGAATGCAAAATTCTCTTGTTAGGATTAGGGGAAAGAAGGAGAGACCAGCCTTCTAGGAGTGGGAGTGGGTAGACTCTCTTTGATGTGCTCTCACCAATCCCTTGTTTACTGAAACTCTAGCACTTTTGCTTTCTCTTTCTTTTCTACTCTCTAGTGTGCTCTTTGCACATCATCTTGAGAAAGATAAATTCATTGTAAGAAAGATCAGGAAGAGGAGCAGGAATAGTTCTCAAGGCAAGGTCCTGAACACCCAAGGTCTCTGTAGATGCTTAGGAAACAAACAGATCCGGCATATAGGGGCTTATTGGTACCAACCTATAAGCAGGTTTTGTGGACAAAAGTAGCAGACTTAAGGAATGGTATTTTCAGATTTAAGTTTTATACCATTAAAACTCATTGTCCTCAATCAAGGAGGAACCAACTCGGAGCTGGTCCTCCATTAATTTTCTGAGCTTGTAAATTGAACCACAGGAAGAGTGTCCATTTTTCTTGCTGGGGGCCACTATAAATATAAACTACTTAATCATAGCCTTGTGATTCATGGTCCATGCTCACTTAGCCAATTTCGGTATTTTCTTTCCAGTTCTGTGCTCCATGACATCACTGGATGGTTGTTGGGTGCCATTGAGTCCAGTATGACTCATAGCAACCCTATGAACAAAAAATCTGAACCCTGTTCTATCCTATGCTGTCCTCACACTTCTGACACACAATAATGGAATATCCCACAGACGGCCAAAAACCCAAACAGATGTCTTGGAGAAGGTGCAGCCTGAGTGCTCTTTGGCGGCAAGAATGAGGTTTTGCCTCATAGACTTTGGGCATATTGGGAGGATGAGGGAGAAGGGTCTGTGAAGGAGAGAGGAAGACCCTTGACCAGGTGGATTGACACAGTGACTGTCATAATGGGCTCTTGTATGTATGTCAGTATGGCAGATAAACGGAAATTGAAAATTTAGTCACAAAAGTCAACAACTGCACACAAATCAGCTTGCTTTTCCCCTAGAGTACTGGTTGTAAAACATACACCAGTTTATCACTCCCCCTTGTGAATATTGTCCACTTGAGAGATAGGAATTGAGCTGGACTCAATTGGGAAGGGTAGAAATGAGGGGGTTTATTTCTACTTTTTGGGGGGGAAAGGCGAAAGGAAGATTTGTATTTCTTACCCATGACCCTCTGGAGGGTCAGCTATAGTTCAGTTCAGACCCAACTATACATAGGAACAACCAAGCCTTGACTGTATTCTTGACCCGCAGGCTATGCAATTTACACATTTATTAATTACCTACCATGGTCTGATTCTGATTGTCTTTAACATTAAGACACTGCTTACACTCTTATTGTGTTTTGTTTATTGAAATTTTAATTGCCTGCACTCTTAATACAAGTAAAATACAAGTGCTGGAGGGGAAGGAGTGTATCTAAACTAACCTCTAATTCTGGTTACCAAAATCCAGACCACAATTTCATGCTTAGATGTCCTGATGAGAGAGCAGGAGCCCTGAGTTACTTAAGCACAAATATATTGGTCAGAGTTTCTAGGCTGAGCCTCTAAAGCCTACTCCTCTTTCTTCATTTCACGCGCTTAAATGAACATAACTTAGGTTGTGGAGGTTGCAAGGCTTGGACTAGCATTCAGTACAGGGTTTTTTGTTTTGTTTTTTTGCAAACTTTAGATATTGAGCTAGTTTAAAACGACCTGCGGGTGATGATTGTCTCTAGACAGATGCTTGTCTTCAGAGGGCTTCCACTTTACCGCTGAAAAATGTTCCTACATGCCAACCTACGCTGAATTCTGTAACTGTCTAGTAAAGAGATGCTTTCGGCTTTACAAAGTCTTACTTTCATAGGAAGAGCCCCTTCACCATTTGGAAAATAGAATGAAGGTGCCTTCTTCCTTCCGCCCCCCCAAAAAAAGGGGAGGCCCTCCGCGGCATCCCAGTAGTAATCCTGAGGCGGTGGATTTCCATCTGCCGTCAGGCCCGGATGTGAAGTCTGCTACTAAGAGGCCTGCACTTTTTGGGGGGCTGCGAACACCCCTCTCCCAGGCACCCCGCGCCACCCCGCGGAGAAGGGAAGCCACTCGGCCACCACGTGACAAGCCCGCTCCGGGGCCCGCGCGCTGCCGGCCGAGGCCCCGCCCCTCGGGCCGCCGCGCGCCTGTCGCTCGCGAATGTCCCGGGTCGGGCTGGAGAAGGGGAAAGGGGGGGAGGGGAAGCCCAGAGCAGGGGGCTGGCCTGTACGTCGCAGCGTTCCTTCCTCCCGCCTCTTCGCCAGGCCTTGTGTCTCCCGGTCGCGTCTCCGCCCCCTCGTCCCGGTATCCTAGCCAATGGCGAGGCGGCGCGAGCCTCTCTGGCTGGGGGCGGGGCGTGCGCGAGGGGCCTGGCGCGCCTGCGCCCTGCAGCCCGCCCCTCGCCGTGAGGAGGAGGTGGAGGAGGAGGCGGCTCGGGGAGAACGAGAGCGAGCAGTGAGCTAGAGCGCGGAGCCTGAGTGAGGGAGCCTAGCTGCCTGCGCGCCTGCCGCCGCCGCCACCGCCTCTCCTCCGTAAGCAGGAGCCCCGGCCGGGGCCCGGCGCGCTGCCTCAGCCCCTCCCTCGTCGTCAGGCCGCGAGGGCAGCGAGAGCGAGCAAGGGGGAGGGAGAGCCAGCGCCGGGAGGAGGCGGCCGGACTGAGCGAGCGCCCGCGCGTGTGGCGTGAGGGGAAGCCGCCTGCCCGTCCCCTTCGCCTTCCCTTCTCTCCCCCTCCCCGCTCCCCCCCCACCGCGGAGCAGCACCATGTCGGCGCCGGCGGCCAAAGTCAGTAAAAAGGAGCTCAACTCCAACCACGACGGGGCCGACGAGACCTCAGGTGAGGAGG